CTGAGGCGTCAGAATACACCTCATATGGCTCCTCACTATCAGGAATAGTTAGGGCTGGTGCACTTGTCAGCCTAACCTTTAGTTCTTGGAAAGCATCTTCGCATTCAGCATCCCATTCGAATCTGGCTTCTTTCTTAGTCAACCGAGTCACCGGTGCAACAATACTCGAGTAGTACCCTGCAAGTCTGAGGAAACTGAGAATTTTCGCTACATTCTTCGGCCTTTGCCACTGTAGCACAGTCTCATTCTTTGAAAGATCTATAGAAATTCCTTATCCTGATATCACATGCCCAAGGAACTTCACTTCTGTCAACCAGAAGTCACACTTCTCCTGCTTTGCAAACAACTGGTGTTCACGAAGAGTCTGAAGAACAATTCTAAAATGCTGCTGATGTTCTTCCCATGTCTTCGAGTAAACCAGTATGTCGTCGATGAAGATAATCACAAACCGATCCAAGTACGGCTAAAAAACACGGGTCATTAAATCTATGAGTGCAGCCGGGGCATTCGTCAACCTAAAAGGTATTACAAGAAACTTGAAGTGGGCATACCGAGTTCTAAAAGCAGTCTTCGGGATGTGTCCCTCCTTGATTTTTAGCTGGTGGTATCCATACCTCAAGTCAATTTTAGAGTAATATTGTGATCCACCCAACTGATCGAATAACTCATCAATCCTCGGCAGTGGGTATTTATTCTTCATAGTTACCCTATTCAAATGATGGTAGTCAATGCACAACCGAAGAGATCCGTCGTGCTTCTTCACAAATAACACTGGTGCACCCTAAGGGGATTTGCTACTCCTTATATATCCCTTTTCCGCAAGCTCCTCAAGCTGCTTTCTTAATTCTTTCATTTCAGCAGGTGCCATTTGGTAAGGCGGAATAGAAATAGGTGCCGTCCCCGGAACCAAATCAATGCTAAATTAAATCTCCTGATCTGGCAGTAAACCATGTAACTCCTCAGGAAACACATATGCGAACTCATCCGCCACAGGAATTCCCGCACTGTCTCCAATTACCTCGTGTTCACCTTCCAAAGCAAGAAGGGAAGAAAAGCAGGCTAGATTCCTCTGTTCCCCAACGTTGTACCTCAACAGTCGTTCTCCCAGGATTGGATTCATGTTTGCCTAATAAGCAATCACCACTCCAGAATTTGTAACCAAAGTCACTCTTCTACGGTAGCAATCAATAAGTGCTCTGTATTTCAACAATGAATCCATTCTGAGTACCACGTCAAACAGACTTATCAGAAGGATGATCAAGTGGGATCTCAACCGCTCACAACCAATCGTGATTTCACATGATCTACACACACTCATCACCTCCACACATTCCAGTGGGGAGTTTAACGTCATCAGGACTTCAAAGTCCTCAAATTTTAGTTTCAAGGTTCGAACAAAAGAACTTGATAAAAAAGAGTGTGTAGCACCAGTAGCAAACAGTACATGTGCTAAAGAGTGAGAGATTAGGATCATACCCTCAACCACCGTGTTGCTGGCCTGGCCTCTAGAACTGCCTCCTGTCAGGGCATAAGCTTGTCCCTGCACTTTTCCCTTTCCCTTATCACCCATATTAGGCCTTTGGGCTCCCGGCCTATATTGTTACGGTGGAGGTATCTGTACCGATCTTGGCGGTTGAGGCCGAAACTATGGATATTGAGGTGGACGGTTGGTTGGCACAGAAGGGAATGGCATCAGCATTTACATCTATGGCTGATAGGGTGGCACAAATTGTGGTGGCCTTTCCTGACTGTAGGAAGTATCACTTTAGGCTTGTCGAGTCGGCAGCCGACTAGGACAATTCCTCCTAATATGGCACACCTGCCCACAATGATGCCACTTGGGCCTATAGGGACCACTCCTGTCACTTCCTGACGAACTACTACCACCACTAATCATTTCCCCACCAGTCTGTCCCTGATTTCGGTTTCTTCTACCACTCCACTGTGGCCCACCTGAAGCAGAAGGTACACCAGAGACAGAAACTCGACCAGCTGCTTTCCTGCTCTGTTGGTAAGCCTAGTTATCTTGCTCCACACTTGTCATAGCAGCCACCAAATCCCAAAAATTTCGAATCCTTAAAGCTACCAAAGGTCTCCTGACAGAATTCTTGAGGCCCTTCTCAAACTTAAGACATCTAAGGTGCTCAGACTCCAGTAAAGATGGCATAAACCGGGATAGGTCATTAAATTTGGCCTCATACTCCCTCACAGACATATCGTCTTGTAGCAAGGACATAAATTCCATCACTTTTTCATCCCTATAGCTCTGAGGGAAGTATTGCTCATTAAAGACGGTCTCGAACTGTTCCCATGCTAATCCTGCAACATCTATTCTTCTCCTGACCTATTTCCACCAAGTGCTCGCTTGGCCTTCCATCTTGAATACCACAAATTCAACCCAGTATTCATCTGGCACTCCCATAGTATTCAAGTGCTTGACTATGGAATCAAACGAGAATTTCACTTCCTGGGGTCCTCCCTCACTATTGAACGTCGGGATAGGCGCTCGTCTAAATTTCCGGAAGTAACTTTGCTTCCTATCCTCAACCGGTCGCTCATTCTGAGCTTTCGTGGCCATGCCTTGAAAGGCATCATACATGGCATCCAGAAATTCCTGATTCTGTTGTGCCGGTTGATTAACTGATCTACGACGAGGTGCCATTTCCTTCAACTGAAATGAAACTATACTATTCAGTGGATTACAGATGTCACACATGTATGTATAATCCTGGGGTTTCTTAACCTAGGACTCTAATACCACTCTGTCGCGTCACACAGGGGTAGGCGATGTGGAGCTCGATTAGGGGTTAAACGCGTGATAACAAAGGAAGTTCCCAAGCGAGCCCCACATAACTTGATTAAAATATAAATTTCCAAGACTTGAGCCTCTGACAACACACAGGGCTCCACCCACAAGACATACAGTCATATACATACATGAACATGTAAATAATCATTACAGATATCAACCACAGTCTAGAAATCCCAATATGAGAGTTTATAGAATTTACAATTCCTTACATTTATATGTCAGAAGATGAACACAATCCTCACTTGTTCCAATAATAACAAATAGTTCAGCTACTCCGCATCGTTCCTTGAGTCTCCTGTGAGGGGTTTAATATTCATAAAATAGTAAAACGTGAGTGAAAGGCCCTGTAGGATATAATTTGAAATAAGTTTAAAATATATGAATAAAGAAATAAGTGAGTGAATAAGTAAATGGATAAGTAAAGAAAATTAGACATTCAGTTTCAACACAACAGCCGGAACCTCACATCTTTTTTCTCAAAGGAAATATATTAGAAAATATCCGTATTACAGGCATCAGTAAGTAATTAGTGTAAATTACTTACACAACCAAGTGCACAAGCCTCCCACCGGGTTTGGGGTTCTGCCCCTAAGGATGCACTCTCCACATCCTATCTAGGCCATCAGTAAATTTTTACTAGTTCGCAAGATCTCTTTTCTTAAGAAATCATTCATTAAACTTTCCGAAATCGTTATTAAAATCCCATAAACTACACAAGCCGTGGGCCTTATGAACTACAAGAAGCCATGGGTTCCATGAACTATAACAAGCCATGGATTCTGTGAACTACAACAAGCCATGGTTTCCGAATATTTTTCTTTCGTAAAACAAGCCCCTTTCTTTAAAACATTTACAAGGCCAAAATCTTTCTTGAAAATCAGGCTCACAGGGAAAAGGGGATAGAAATCCTACCTCGCAATACCAAACATGTGACTAGCGTGACTATATTCTGGCTTCTACTTCTTCAAAGCCTCTCAGTCTGAGTCCTCAGCTAGCACTGATACAAAACAACGCTTTAGGATCCAATTCTCATTCATAAAGCAATTCAATCTCAATTGTACCAAAATTTCCTATTAGTGTGCCCTAATCAAACTTCATGTTTCAAATCATCATTCCAAGGGTTTTCAATCTCAAAACAAGGATTAAAGATGCTTATCCATTTAGTCTAGATCCCCAAATGAAGCAAATTTGGGTTCTCCTCGAAAACAGAGGTCAAAACAGCATTTTCAGGTAAAACAGTGTTGACCCTCGTGCACATCGGTCGATCGGTGACAGAGCAGTGCAACACCACCGGTCGGCCGGTGGTGTGTCGTCCGGTCGACCGGTTGCCATGTGATTTGGTCGACCAGATAGGTTGACCGGTGGAATCAGCAGCGCGAGCGAAGCTCGCAAAAACCAGTCTGAAAATGTACAAATCCAGTCCCAAATTGAAATATCTCAAAAGAAAACCACTAGATCCGGGTTCTAAGTACTAAATCAAGTCCAAAGAACCCAAAATCTCCAATTTCTACCATGGTTTTACTTAAAATCCGTTTTGAACCAAAAATAGGTTTTGAAATCGACAAATCCGAGAATCAACAAAGGTTTTTTTTTTCAGAAATCTTACCTTAAATCCTCTTCATGGCGTTGAAAACTTCTTCAAATCTTTCTTTGGTTCAAGATTCAGTAGTTTTGGGATAAAAACGGGAGAGAGAGAGAGAGTAAGAGACAATCGAGAGAGAGAGGGAGAGAGACGAGTGTGAGAGTGAGAGAGAAAGTGTATGCACGGGAGGAAACAGAAAAGGAAAGAAAAGGAAAAAGAAAAGAAAAAGGTATGTGTACAATATTTTAAAATGACAGTCGAGAAATGTGTCCATACACACTTCTAGGTAAAAATGTAAATACTGAGAATATTTAATTACCTTGGAATTATTTAAATTTTCATATAAGAAACAATTCTTAATTAATAACCAATTGATTAATTCAGTTCAGGCACACAAATAAATCTCAATTACCTGAATTAATTTCATTTAATTCTTCACGGTGTCACAATCACATTTAATTTTCTTTCAGAAAATCGTCACTAATAAAAACCTTAACAATAGGTATTTATATAGCACAAGAAAACCTACAAACCAACTTAGAACTCAACTTGACACATGCCCGGCACTGCCTTTTCGGCACTTCAAATGCCCTTGTGTTGTTCACGCTACGCGCTGCCATTGTGGCGTGAGCACCCCGGCACCGATTTTCGAAGCGCCGTGGAGCCCATGCTGTGGCGTTGCACTGCTATCCAGCGTTCAGTTGCTCTCCTAGGGCCGCGAAGCGAACAAACTGGGGCCACGTTCTCTTTGCCGCACCATTTCTCTACACCTGTGTACACTTCAATTAAGAGATTTGGAAATCTACTTTCAAAGTAGTTGTAGAAACCTTCATCCAATGATCCTATGGATTTCTGAAACAGTCACCGACCAAAATGAGTTGTAAGAACGTCAATAAGGCACATTCTATTTTGTGTCTGGAAATAAACAATATTCATAGAGAATATTTCTTTAGAACTAGTACCTGAATATTCGGTGGACACTTTCCATAATGAATATAGGTGTGTCGAATAAACCGCAATAATTCTGGAAGGCTTTTGAATTTGTAAGTATTATTTGGACAGTACTTTTCCAATTGATCAATTGCATAATTCATTATATCTGCATCAATCCTGTTGTTCCATTCTTGAACATGCTCTCCCTTCCATTTTCCTTCTATAACTTTCGATGAAATAGTTTCTAGCTCATTGCGAAGATGTTTGCCCTCAAAATCAAATACTCTTTTGTAAGTGTCAAGAAGAAATAAAAGTTTCTCCTTCGGATCCCAAAAATGTGAATGGCACAGTGCCTCCTTTGCTGTTAGACTGGCAACAATAGAAAAGAAGTGAAAAAGAAGCGTGCATACATGCATGTGTGTGTGTGTGTGTGTGGCATAGCTATGGTCTTCCTGGGAGAAACTTATCTCCTTCATAAAATTTAGAAGTAAGAAATCTAAGAAAAAATGTCAGAATAATGTTGAATAAATGTCATTTTACTTTTCTTTAACTTCTTTATGTTACAATATGATCACTTCTTTATGTCAGAGCCCAAGGAAAGGAGTTTTCTATGGGACCTTGATTCCGCACTTTTTCGGTGTAATATCATAACTCAAAATAACTAATTTATGAATGTGGTTTTGTTGATATCTATATACGTCTTGGATAAGTACTATCAGGTTTTTAGTTGGCATTTGTGGCAATAAGAATTCAAACAATTCAGAAACTAACTAGTTCTACAGATAGGTGACGTGTTGCGAAAGTCAAATCCGTGACAAGGCTTTTGAAATTGAAGTGTTATTTATCAAGATAAAATCCGGTTTTGTTACTAGGATAAGTCTCAACATAGATCATGCAGTAGAGATAAAGCCGAATTGGCGCTGAAGATTTAAATTGGGACGTCAAAGATTTGAAGAAGATATGATCAAGATAACCCTAATTTGAGTTAAATTCAAATTTCAAGCTTAAATAGGATTCGGTTTTTGTAGATATAAAAGCCAGGATGTGCAATTTCATTAGAGATCATTTTTCAGAAGGCTTTTAGAAGAAAAGAGCAGAGAAAAATGGATAGAAGATTCTAGAATCGGATTTGAAATTTAAGAATTAATGTTGCAACAAATTTTGGGATAAATTTTGAAAGATACTCATCTGAAATTTAAGATAAATGATTGTCTGCTCTTTATAAGTCTCAAGTCAATGCAAGTTACAGCTATCGGGAACATCTACACACAATTAATTTTGAGTTTTTTATTCTACAGGAGAAGAATTTGAAATTTTTGGGAGAAAACATTTTGTGAATTGAAGGGAGTTCAATGTCGAGACATTGAAGACGAGTGATGCTCAGTGAATAATCTAGCTAATTGTTACAAGATCTAGGCGACAATTACAAGGAGTCAGTAGGTTAAGTCCATTGGTGATTGTAACGGTGTTTAAATAATGAATTATTCAACAACTAGGTGTGACCCTGTGGATATAAATGTTTACCTGAAAATTCCATACTTTTGGTAATTGATTAATCTGATTAAATAACTTCTAGTTGGTAAATTAATATAACAGGACTCGTTTCAGTATTTGTTGCAACAATAACACTATACATAGATCTTTCAAGTACCCATTCAGGAAAGTATAAGCTTACCGTTCTGTAGGATTCTTGCTTGTTAAACAAAGGAAAAGATGACGAGCTTCAGGATAATTCTCCAACAATGAGTCCCTCTTCTTTGTTATTGTTTTCCAGTCACCAAATTCAGAAATACCAGTGATGCAATAAGAGAAAATTCCACCGAAAGTGTGCATATCATCAACCCATATATGGTTCCCGTGATCACGACATGCTTGCCTATCCAAAATGCCACTACCTAGTAAAGAAATTAATTCCTCAAAACATGAGACAAAATGAATGATAAACCCTAAGAACATTAGGTTAAAGAATAACATAAGCGAATAATACATCAACTGGATAATATTAGGATCTTGATGAAGAGAATATTAGTTGATCAATTATCTATATGCATACATATATAAAACGTACGGGGGTGTTTAAGAGGCAAAATGCGAGTACTTACCAGTTTTAATGCCCATGTCAGAAAGCTTTACATACCACAATGATCCTTCCTTAATAATTCGAATGTTTTGAGGCTTCAAGTCTCCGTGACTTATGCCCAATGCATGTAAGTGCACTAGCCCGCAAAGCACTTTCCTGTGGAATAATACAAACATATATAATTAATCAGGTATATCAAACATGATGATATAAAATCTAATCCAAAAAGAACTTAACCAACCTCATCACTGTCCACGATAAATCAGGAATTGGACACCCATTTTTTGGAATGAGTTCAAATTTTCCGACAATATTCTTCACTACTTTCAATCTGTCATTTGCCACAACCTCAGACGGATTGGAATTTGCTAAGTCTAGTTGAACCAGTTCATCCAAGTTGAATGATGTTTCATCGAAGTAGTACTCTTGCTCCATAGCAACATAAAAACACTCTTCATAAGGTATTACGCCATAATATCTCACTAAATTTGGATGGTATTTTAATTCTTTTATCAGAATGTGAATCTTCTTAGAATTCATGTCGTAATCAGCTTTGCAAAGGCGCTTCACAGCAGTCGGTACTTTATAAGTACCCCTTAAAATAATGTTGTCGTGGTTTTTACCCTCGCTAAGTTTTTTATCTGGTAGGAGCTCTAGCTTTTGGCCTATCTGCTGTGGCTGTTGGGGATCACATTTATCACTTTCAGATAAAACTTCTACGGCGGAAAAAGCAATGGTTAGCTCCTGTTCCTGTTCCTGATTGATTTAACAGATATCTTTCATGATTAATATATGAAAAAAAAAAATCCACGAAATTAGGGGTGTCAAACACAACATCAGCACATAAAAGACGTGTACCATAGCCAAAATTACGGGTTTATCAATGCACTCTTCTCATTATATGTCATGATCGAGAAATTTATCGGAATTATTATGTATAATAATATTTCTTAAAATCTTTTATATTATAAATATGAATACTTTTATGATAAGTATTTATTAATATAGATAGAAAATGGTGAGTTGTAAGTTAAAAATCAGAAATTTTTGAACTACGATGTAGTTACAGATTTTTGAACTATGTTCAAAAAAGAAGTATGGAACGTTGTGTTAAACCCACAAGTGGGTAAACAAATGAATATTAAGGTTAAGAAATGAAAGAGAATTGGAAGACATCAATTCTAGGGTTTTAGAAACAATCGGAATGAAGAATGGACGAAAAAAAGGGTTCGGAAGGCCGAATCACGTAAATTGGGATTTCAACTGATTTAAGTGGACCGAGTCAAAATTTGTTGACCAAGAGTCGACCAAAACGTCACCCTCAAAAAGTTAGTCAAGAATGGTCAAGGTTGACTAAGTTGACCAACTGTCTGAAAAACGTAGATAAAACAAACACCAGATAGGAATTAAACGGAACAGAAATGAGATAATTATTATGAGTGGATGGCTAGGATTTAAAGTAATTAAATTGATGAGTGGCTGAAATGAGGACATGTGGAAAGCCAAAAAAAGTAGCAGCCAGCCAACTTAGTGAGGAAGCAAGAGATATTTGTTGGAATTTTTGCAAAAAAGTCCTTAGAAATGTCAAATTTTACATTGTATAGTCCCTTACTTTTTGATGGTCGGTTCAATGATGAACAAATACAAGTAAATGGTCACTTTTCATGTAGAGAAACAACAGAGAGCCCAACTAGGAGAAAAAGAGAGGGAAAAAAATTTCAAAGTGAGAAAAATAAGGATTTAAGCAGAAATCAACGGAATTACCGAGGAATAGCGTCACTAAAACTTGTTCTTCATTCCCTAAGGTGAGATTTCAAGTTTTTCCTCTTATTTCCTCTTCCTTGGCTGCCGCGGGAGGGTAGGGGAAGGATGAAAAAATTTTACTAAAAATGGTGATTTGCTTGTAATGGTTAAGGAACATAAAATCTAGTGAACTAAGGATAAATTCTTGGCTATTGAACTTTTGTTTCTAGCAATTCTAGATATAGAGAATTTTGATGAAAATATGGAGAAACTCTAGAACCATGATGATGTTGATGGTGTATTTGAAGGACAAAGGATATGGCTTGTGTTTGAAAATGAAAACAATGGATAAAGCGAGCTAAAGTTAGCTCGGGAAACATAGAGAAATATGCGGAACTCTGCCAAAATTTGATTTGAACATTTGAACTAAAATCAGATTTCAAGAGGAGTAAGGAATTAATGTGTGAAAAGTAAGTTGATTTGATAATCGATGATGTATAAAAACCGAACACAATGAGAATTCACAGTTTTAGACCAAAACTGAAAATTAGGCCCATGACTGAGGAAGGTGCACGATTTTAGTGCAAACTCTTGAGATAGGAAACATTTTCGCATTGAATACCAAACATAAGGATTGTAGATATTTCTAAATTAAATTTTAATGTAACTATTGATCTTAGATTTTAAATCTAACGATCGGAAATTTATGCAATAGGATCGATTAACGATCGAAATCAGAAGGCATCAAGTGAGACAAAGGACACGACATTCTTAAAACTTCTGTAAAGTCAAGTTAAGAGAAAAAGTTAAACTTTAACGAAAAGTTAATCTCATGTTAAATTGCTCAAAAATGAACAAAGTCATAAGATTTAATTAAAGTTACCGTTTCAACGAGAAATTTGATAAACGGTAAGAGATCAAACATCGTGTTTCTACCAGCCTTTGAAGGAAAGGTTATTATGAGACTGAAAGAGACAAAATCGTGACTGAGCTGGATTAGTTAGCTACCCCACTCCTCACTGGTTATGCGCGCTATGGTACAACAGGACAGGACCCATAAAAAGTAAAATAAAAGAAAATAAAAAACAGAAACCGTTCCATATAAAGGTGCGGTATCTACAAAGAACAACGGGAAGAATGAGAAATACAATATGAAAGTCCTTCAGAACATGAAAATACAATGTGAACGACTAAAGTGAGATGAAAGCTGTAACACCCTGAAGAATTAAATGAGATTAATTAAGGTAATTGAGATTTATTAGTGTGCCTAAACTGAATTAATTAATGGGTTACTAATTAAGAAATGTTTCTGACATGAGAAATTAAATAATTCCAAGGTATTTAAATATTCTCAGTATTTACATTTTTACCCGGAAGTGTGTATAGGCACATTTCTAGACTATCATTTAAAATATTGTACACATGCCTTTTTCTTTTCTTTTTCCTTTTCTTTTTCTTTCCTTTTCTCTTTCCTCCCATGCATACTCTTCACTCTAACACTCGTCTCTCTTCCTCTCTCTCTCGATTGTCTCTCTCTCTCCCGTTTTTGTCCCAAAATGACTGAATCTTGAACCAAACGAAGATTTGAAGAAGTTTTCAATGCCAAGAATAGGATTTAAGGTAAGATTTCTGAAAATCTCTCTTGAATCTCAGATTTGTGGATTTCAAAACCTATTTTTGGTTCAAAACAAATTTTGAGTAAAACCATGGTAGAAATTGGAGATCTTAAGACCTTTGGACTTGATTTAGTACTTAGAACCTAGATCTAGTGGTTTTCCTTTGAGATATTTTGATTTGGGACTGGATTTGCAGGTTTTTAGACTGGTTTTCGTGAGCTTCTCTCACGCTGCTGATCTCACCGGTCGACCGAATCGCAAGGCAATAGGTCGACCAGTGGGTCGACCGAACCGGTCAACCTATGCGATCGACCAGAGTGCACACCATCGATCGACCGGTTGTGTTGCACTGCTCTGTCACCGGTTGACCTGTGTACATGGGGTTAGACCCTGTTTTGCCTGAAAATGCTATGTTGACCTCTATTTTCGAGGAGAACCCAAATTAGCTTTATTTGGGGATCTAGAGTAAATGGATTGGCTTCTTTAATCCTTATTTTGAGATTGAAAACCCTTGGAATGATGATTTGAAACATGAAATTTGATTAGGCCACACTAATAGAAAATCTTGGTACAATCGAGATTGAATTGCTTTAGGAATGAGAATTACTTTAGGAATGAGAATTGGATCCTAAAGCGTTGTTTTGTATCAGTGCTAGCTGAGGACTCTGACTGAGAGGCTTTGAAGAAGCAGAAGCCGAAATAGAGCCACGCTAGTCACAGGTTTGGTATTGCGAGGTATGATTTCTATCCCCTTTTCCTTGTGAGCTTGATTTTCAAGAAAGATTTTGGCCTTGTAAATGTTTTAAAGAAAGGGGCTTGTTTTGCGAAAGAAAAATATTTGAAAATTGTGGCTCGCTGTAGTTCACAGAATCCATGGCTTGTTGTAGTTCATGGAACCCATGGCTTGTTGTAGTTCATGGGGCCCACGGCTTGTGTAGTTCGTGGGATTTTAATAACGATTTCAAAAAGTTTAGTGAATGATTTCTTAAGAAAAGAAATCTTGGAAACTGGTAAAAATTTGCTAATGGACTAGATAGGATGTGGAGAGTGCATCCTTGAGGACAGAACGTAAAACCCGGTGGGAGGCTTGTGCACTTGGTTGTGTAAGTAATTTGTACTAATTACTTGCTGATGCCTGTAATACGGATATTTTCTGATATATTTCCTTTGAGAAAAAGGATGTGAGGTTACGACTGTTGTGTTGGAACTGAATGTCTAATTTTATTTACTAATCCATTTACTTAGTCACTCGCTTATTTATTTATTTTTAAAGTTATTTTAAATTACATCCTACTGGGCCTTTCGCTCACGTTATACTGTTTTATGAACATTAAACCCCTCCCTGGAGACTCTAGGAGCGGTACGGAGTAGCTGGACTATTTGCTACTATTGGAACAAGTGAGGATTATTTTTATCCTCTGACATATAAATGTAAGGAATTGGAAATTCTGTAAACTCTAATGTTTGGATTTCTAGACTGTGGTTGATGTATGTAATGATTATTTACATGTTCATGTATGTACAATACTGTATGTCCTGTGGGTGAAGCCCTGTGTGTTGTCAGTGGCTCAAGTCGTAGAAATTTATATTTTAATCAAGTTATGTTAGGCTCGTTTGTTATCGCGCGTTTAACCCCTAATCGAGCTCCACGTCGCCTACCCCTGTGTAGGGGATGTGACAGAGTGGTATCAGAGACCTAGGTTAAGAAACCCCATGATTGTACATACATGTGTGACATCTATAATCCACTGAATAGTCTAGTTTCATTTAAGTTGAAGGAAATGGCGCCTCGCCGTAGATCAGTTAATCAACCGGCATAATAGAACCAAAAATTTCTTGATGCCATCAAGGCATGGCCACTAGAACTCAGAATGAGCGACCGGTTGAGGATAGGAAGCAAAGTTACTTCCGGGAATATAGACGATCGCCTATCCCCACGTTCAATAGTGAGGGATGACCTCAGGAAGCGAAATTCTGGTTTGATTCCATAGTTAAGCACATGAATACTATGGGAGTGCCAGATGAATACTGGGTTGAATTTTCGGTATACAAGATGGAAGGCCAAGCGAGCACTTGGTGGAAACAGGTCAGGAGAAGAATAGATGTTGCAGGATTGACCTGGGAATAGTTTGAGACCCTCTTTAATGAGCAATACTTCCCTCATAGCAATAGGGATGAAAAAGTGATGGAATTTATTTCCTTGCTACAAGGCGATATGTCTGTGAGGGACTATGAGCCCAAATTTAATGACCTATCCCAGTTTGCGCTATCTTTGCTGGAGTCTAAGCACCTTAGATGTCTTAAGTTTGAGAAGGGCCTCAAGAATTCTGTCAGGAGACCCTTGGTAGCTTTAAGGATTCAAAATTTCCAAGATTTGGTGGCTGCTGCGAGAAGTGTGGAGCAAGATTACTTGGCTTACAAACATAGCAGGGAAGCAGCTGGTCAAGTTTCTATCTCTGGTCTACCTTCTGCTTTAGATGGGCCACAGCGGAGTGGTAGAAGAAACTGAAATCAGGGACAGACTGGTGGGGAAATGATTAGTAGTGGTAACAGTTCGTCAGGAAGTGACAAGAGTGGTCCCTATAGACCCAAGTGCCATCATTGTGGGCAGACGGGCCATATTGGAAGGAATTGTCCTAGTCGGCCGCTGACTCAACAAGCCCAAAGTGATGCTTCCTACAGTCAGGAAAGGCCACCACAGTTTGCGCCACCCTATCAGCCACAGATGCAAATGGCAATGCCATACCCTTCTGTGCCAACCTACCGTCTGCCTCAATATCCACAGTTTCAGCCTCAGGTGCCGGGACCGGTACAGATGCCTCCACCGCAACAATATAGGCCGGGAGCCCAAAGGCCTAATATAGGTGATAAGGGAAAGGGAAAAGTGTAGGGACAAGATTATGCCCTGACAAGAGGTAGTTCTAGAGGTCAGGCCGGCAACACGGTGGTTGAGGGTATGATCCTAATCTCTACTCCTTAGCACATGTACTATTTGATACTGGTGCTACACACTCTTTTATATCAAGTTCTTTTGTTCGAACCCTGAAATTGAAATTTAAGGACTTGAAAGTCCCGATGACGTTGAACTCCCCACTGGGATGTGTGGAGGTGATGAGTGTGTGTAGATCATGTGAAATCATGATTGATGGTGAGCGGTTGAGAGCTGACTTGATCATCCTTCCGATGAGTCTGTTTGACGTGGTACTCGGAATGGTTTGGTTGTCAAAATACAGAGCAATTGTTGATTGCTACCGTAGAAGAGTGAATTTAGTTACAAATTCCTAAGCGGTGATTGCTTATCAGGCAGACATGAATCCAGTACTGGGAGAATGACTGTTGAGGTATAGCGTTGGGGGACAGAGGAATCTAGCCTGCTTTTCTTCCCTTATTGCTTTGGAAGGTGAACCCGAGGTAATTAGAGACAGTGCGGGAATTCCTGTGATATATGAGTTTGCAAATGTGTTTCCTGAAGAGTTACCTGGTTTACTGCCAGATCAGAAGATTGAATTTAGCATTGATTGGGTTCCGGGGACGGCACCTATTTCTATTCCGCCTTACCAAATGACACCTGCTGAAATGAGAGAATTAAGAAAGCAGCTTGAGGAGCTAGTGGAAAAGGGGTATATAAGGAATAGTACATCCCCTTGGGTTGCACCAGTGTTATTTGTGAAGAAGCACGACGGATCTCTTCGGTTGTGCATTGACTACTGTCAATTGAATAGGGTAACTGTGAAGAATAAATACCCACTGCCGAGGATCGATGAGTTATTCGATTAGTTGGGTGGATCACAGTATTACTCTAAAATTGATTAGAGGTCTGGATACCACCAGTTGAAAATCAAGGAGGGGGACATCCCGAAGACTACTTTTAGAACTCGGTATGGACACTTTGAGTTTCTTGTACTGCCTTTTAGGCTGACGAATGCGCCGGCTACATTCATGGATTTAATGAACCCTGTTTTCCGGCCATACTTGGATCGGTTCGTGATTGTCTTCATCGATGACATATTGGTTTACTCAAAGACTTGGGAAAAACATGAGCAGCATTTGAGAATTGTTCTTCAGACTCTTCGTGAACACCAGTTGTTTGTAAAGAAGGAGAAGTGTGACTTCTGGCTGACAGAAGTGAAGTTCTTTAGGCATGTGATATCAGGACAAGGAATTTCTGTAGATCCTTCAAAGATTGAGACTGTACTACAGTGGGAAAGGCTGAAGAATGTAGCAGAAATTCACGATTTCCTCAGACTTGCAGGGTACTACCGGCGTTTCGTAAATGACTTTTTGAGTATTGCTGCACCGATGACTCGGTTGACTAAGAAAAAAGTCATATTCGAATGGGACGCTCAATGCTATATGCTTTCCAAGAGCTGAATGTTAGGCTAATAAGTGCACCAGTCCTAACTATTCTTGATAGTGAGGAGCCATATGAGGTGTATTCTGACACCTCGGGGAGTGGACTTGGTTGTGTTTTGATGCAAGGTGGACGTGTTGTAGCATACGCTTCTCATCAATTGAGGCCACATGAATGGAATTACCCCACTCATAACTTGGGATTGGTAGCGGTAATATTTGCTCTGAAGATATGGAGATGTTATCTCTATGGAGAAAAGTTTCAGGTCTTTTCTGACCATAGAAGTCTGAAGTACTTGTTTATTCAGAAAGATCTTAATCTCAGGCAAAGGAGATGGGTGGAATACATGGAAGACTATGATTTCACACTACAATATCATCCAGGGAAAGCTAATGTGGTAGCCGATGCCCTTAGTAGGAAGACCACAGGAACTTTGGCATCACTAGCCTTGGAGGACTGGAAAAGAACTGAAGTGGTGAGGGATTATGATCTTCAGTACTTCGAGGAGTATAACCAAGCTATGGTGTATAATCTGGTTTCTACACCGGATATTGTATAACAAGTCAAGCAGAATCAATGGCAGGATTCTCATCTCTAAGGAATCTGGATTCGAATCCAGAATGGAGAGCAACTCGAGGATTGGAGAATCCGAGAGGATGGAGCCTTGTACTTTCGCAACCGCCTTATTGTTCCTAAGGTGGACGAGGTAAAGAAGATGATTCTGCATGAGACTCATAGATCGAGGTTTGCTATTCATCTTGGGAGTACCAAGATGTACCAGGATCTGAAAAGACAGTACTGGTGGGGAGGCATGAAGAAAGACGTTCGTGAGTATGTCTCGTAACGTGTAACTTGCCTCCGGATTAAAGCAGAACATTAGAAACCTGCTGGAGAGTTGCAACCTCTTCTTGTTACTATAGATTTGACGAAGTCTACACACTTCAAACCGTTCCGTACGATGTATTCTCAGAAGATTCTGGCAAAATTGTACCTGGAGCACATCGTGAGACTTCACGGAGTGCCACTGTCCATTACGTTTGATCATGACACTCATTTTAATGCAAGGTATTAGAGGAGTTTTCAGGAAGCCATAGGGACATAATTGAATTTCAGCACAACATTTCATCCTTAGACTGATGGGCAATCTGAAAGAGTTATTCAGATTTTGGACGATATGCTTCGTGCTTGTATTCTGGAATTTTGTGGAAACGGGAAGAAATACATGTACCTTGCTGAGTTTACTTACAACAATAGCTATCAAGCCAGTATCGATATCGGTCAGAAGAGTTATGTAGACAGAAGGCGTAGACCTTTGGAATTCTAGGAAGGTGACTTCATTTTGTTGAAGGTTTTCCCACGTAAAGGAGTTGTTCATTTTGGCGTGAAAGGGAAACTTGCACCCAGGTATGTGGGACCATTCCTGATTGTGCAACGAATTGGAGTTGTGGCGTATTGTCTGGCTTTACCGCCTGAGTTATCTCCCGTGCATGACATGTTCCATGTCTCCATGCTTCAGAAATGTCAACCTGAACCGGAAGTTATGGTACAATGTTGTGACGTTCCAATACAGTATGACGCGACAAATGAGGATGCACCAGTTTAGATTCTTGACCGGAAGATAAAGAGTCTGCGTCATCATGAGATTCCATTAGTAAAAGTGTTGTGGTAGCAACATGGAGTTGAGGAAGCGACATGGAACTTGAAACGACGATGCAGGAGCGATATCCGCATCTGTTTACACTTTGAGGTGAGCCTTAATTTTGAGGATGACATTCCTTAAGGGGGTGGAGTTACAACACCCTGAAGAATTAAATGAGATTAATTAAGGTAATTGAGATTTATTAGTGTGCATGAACTGAATTAATTAATTGGTTATTAATTAAGAAATGTTTCTGATATGAGAATTTAAATAATTTCAAGGTATTTAAATATTCTCAGTATTTACATTTTTACCCAGAAGTGTGTATGGGCCCATTTCTAGACTATCATTTTAAAATATTATACACATGCCTTTTCATTTCTTTTTCCTTTTCTTTTTCTCTCCTTTTCTCTTTCCTCCCATGCATACTCTTTCTCTCTCTCACTCTCATACTCGTCTCTCTCCCCCTCTCTCTCTCGATTGTCTCTCTCTCTCTCTCTCTCTCTCGTTTTTGTCCCAAAATGACTGAATCTTGAACCAAAGAAAGATTTGAAGAAGTTTTCAATGCCAAGAAGAGGATTTAGGGTAAGATTTCTGAAAAAAAAAAAAAAAAAACCTCTCTTCAATCTCAGATTTGTGGATTTCAAAACCTATTTTTCGTTCAAAACGGATTTTGAGTAAAACCATGGAAGAAATTGGTGATCTTGGGTTCTTTGGACTTGATTTAGTACTTAGAACCCGGATATAGTGGTTTTCCTTTGAGATATTTTGATTTGGAACTAGATTTGCAGGTTTTCAAACTGGTTTTTGCGAGCTTCTCTCATGCTGCTGATTCACCGGTCGATCGGATCACATGGCAACAGGTCGACCTGTGGGTCGACCGAACTGGTCAACCTATGCGGTCAACCGGAGTGCACACCACCGTTGCGAAAGAAAAATATTTGAAAAGCGTGGCTTGTTGTAGTTCACGGAATCCATAGCTCGTTGTAGTGCATGGAACCTATGGCTTGTTGTAGTTCATGGGGCCCACGGCTTGTGTAGTTCGTGGGAATTTAATAATGATTTCAGAAAGTTTAAGAATGATTTCTAAAGAAAAGAGATCTTGCGAACTGGTAAAAATTTACTGATGGCCTAGATAGGATGTGGAGAGTGCATCCTTGGGGGCAGAACCCAA